GTGAGGAGGATATTCTTCACGAGTTGCCCAATGTAACCGCCAGCGCTCACCTTCAGTCCGGGGTCCACGAAGAAAATATTGGTCTTTCCATTCCAGGTACGTCCGGTCCATACCATCAACCCGCGCCTTGGCGACTGCGGTGAAGATGATGTCCTAGACCGTGGCGACGTTGTCGGAGCTGCTCGATGTTGGAGGTCTCCAGATCGAGAGTACTGGTCTCCAGGTAGCTGGTGACTAGAAGTTTCGCAGCTGTTTGGAGGTGACATGAATTCCAAAGGTCTTCTCCAGTCAGGCTGCGACTGGAGATGACTTCATATTTTGGTGTACATGAAGGTGATGGGCGAGAGCCAGCTCCTGCTTATAGAGGAACATCTTGGGTATCTTCCGCCCTGGTACTCGTATCCACGTCCTCTGTCTGGGCAGCGAAAACTTTGCTGATATGTGACTCGGTCGAAGTGACTTTTTTTGCCCCCCCCCCCTGTATACTTACACAACACTACGTTGCGGGCCTCTGTTCTTAGAGGTTCCCGGCATCATTTTATCACTTGAATGGATAATCATAATTTCCTGTTTTTTTTTACTTTCCCATGAGATTGTATTTTATGAATGAAAACGTGCTCTGGTGACCCTAGAACACGAGACGAGAAGCGCACATTAGGTCATCCCATTCGAAAGTGCCGAGACATATAGAGGAATGGCAGAAAAGCAAAGGGGATAGAGCAGCGGGCTACTATACCATTTGGAGGCTAGTACCTTAGCTATGTATCTGTGAAATTTGGCGAACCTACCCACAGAAGAAGTTCTCGAGAAATTGAAAAGAAGCCCGAGTGGTGAAAATCAGCGCCGGATTTTCAAATCAGGCGTCATAAGAGGAAAGTGCGCTGCACAAATTTGACCTGCGTCGGACCAGCAATTGCGTGTGGTGGTGTTCTCAAAATGCAAGGTGGAAGTTTTGCTTCGGGCCCGAAGAACGAAGAAATGGAAAAAGGTTTGTCGTGGATGGCCCTATAATTTTCAACATGCAGAAGAAAAAAGGGTGGATGAAGTCAGAAAGCGCGTGAATGTCCGATCAAAGAGGATGGACCCTTGTCCAAGCTTCCCCGCAAGGCTGACATCCCTGCTGCAACGGCTGCCTGATTTATGTCCGATTGATTGAGGATGGTCAAGAGGGTGTGCGCATGGGTACCTAATTTTCTTAAGCACGAACGCAGTACCGATTCTATGCCTCTAGCAGTAATGTTCTCAGCATGAGATGTCATTCACGACTGTGAAATGCCTGACTGGCCTAAAAATATGGGTGGTCTTGAACTCCGAGCCAAAACTCACAATCGTCAATTTTGTATGAATGCAGATGAGAAGCCGCCCGAGTTCTACCATGAGGAGTTACGTGGGCGCAAGTGGATGGTCACAGCGAAGGATTCCCACACTGTGGCTTTCAGGCGGCTCTATACAGAGAATAAAATCGTCGCTGTCGGTGCATATTGCCTGTTCCTCGGCAATCAGATCGACAAATGGATGATACCACACAACTACAAGAAGGCCACCGTTGCTCGTCATAGTGCCAGACCCCGAGTAACTGTACTGTATTGTAGGGCAGTGCTGGGACACAAATACTGAGACCTGGGTTCAATCGCCCCATTCGCCCAACATAAAGCCGTTCGATTCCAACTGTTCTGGTCAGTCGAGGGTACTCTCCGACGGCAAACGCTACAACTGAGAATTGGCAGCAACAGCAATTTACTCGCATTTGTTGAAAAAATGAAGGTACCAGAGGTCCAAACGCTTTCGGGGCCTGGGAGCGGGTCATTGGTGAAGGAGGGATCTACTTACAAAGCCAAAATATTACTTTTCTATCTGTTTTTCTCTTCGTTTTATATGAATAAGATCTTCACTTTTGAATGGGATGACGTAATAGACCATATGAATATGAAGCAGTGCAGAGAAAGGAACGTAACACAGCATGCGGATTGTGCGGTCCTTACCGTGTTAAATAATGGAAGACGATGATTTTTTTTTGTCAACCGATCTCTCTGGATGTAGCGCGCATTTTACTTCCATTCAGAGTAGTATTGGCTTATTGAATGCAAAGTGGATTATACAATGACTTATAGGGGCCAGCCAGTGTACAAGTCAGGGTTGTTAGCCTCCCAGATAAACCTGGTATCCTTTTCACCGTCTACAGAGGGTAGAAGGCCTGGTTGTGGGAGGGGAAAACCCATTGCAAAAGTTACTTTGGAGTTGTGAGTTCGCGAAAGCGGTGGAGTGGTCCGGGTCTATGTTAGCTCAAAAACTTCTCATTTCAATTTAAACTAGGCTTATTTCTAGTTTCTGTTCTGCTCATTTAAAAAGGTTCAACTTCGGCCAGCGGTATTGTTTTTGTAGCAGGTGGTCCCGCTTCAAAAATGCATATCTTGTGCCTTAAGTTCCGACCCGAGCCAAGCGGACCTTCTCTCCTTATGATTTCTAATCCTTCTGGTGATCATTGATTGGTACCGCAGTTCTTTGTTCAATACACTGACTTGTACACCGACTGATAATTTTAGGCCATATGGCATTCGGAAAGAAACCACAATTCTGAACGGAAATCCTTTTCCTTTTGATTATTGCAAATTTGTATAAGCACTGCTGTTTTCAGTTGAATAAAAACGAGACATACTGCATTGATGTGTGGTTCCATGGCGACTGCATCCTATGGGCTCCAGACATACAGATGAAGGGAAATCAATTAACTTGTTTAGAAGAGAAGCTCCATCAGTTCTGGAAGCAGGTGAGGGTTCACTGACGTCTGCTCTGGTTCTTATTCATTTATTACTCAACCATTCTATTACACCTAGGATTAGACTGCGTACAGACTTCACGATGAGGCGTATCGACGCAACTCGCTACCGTTACAGTAGCGCTTCTGTGGTTTAAACAGGAATGCAACCGTAGCAGCATATCGATCCGCGGCGGTCCCTATGTTTTCGGAGAGGATGGTAGAGCACCAGACTGTGTGCTAGTGTTATAGAGAGTAGGAGAAAAGGACAGTCAGTAGTTTCTATGGTACTTTCATGCTCCTGTAGTCTCGGAACAGAAGGTAGTGGCGCCGATCAGTACGCGTCTGCGTTTTCGCCAGCAGCATTCGTGTGCTGTTGGAATGGTTGCAGTGGTAGCGTGATAATGCACCATCGCAGAGTCTGAACGCCGCCTTAGAGATATCAGACTGTCGAGCAGTTTAGCCTAATTGAATTATCCTAGTTTCAGAACTGCTGGATATGCAAGAACTCTGGGGCGGCTATCAATGTTGGCAATAAATTTGTACATTTTGGATGTGCCAAGAAACATGGTAAGTTGTCTTCCACAGTAACCAGATGGGCGTATTCAGATGGGCAAGGACCCAGAACTATGTGCAGTTCTTCTATGTGCGTCCCACCCTTCTATAACAGTACAGTGGAGGGGTCCATAACTGGAGCAAGGAGCAATATTTGCGATTAGTTACGACACGTGGTAGCGCGGCCTCTTTCTGCTGTTCTACACCCTTCTCCTGAGATAGCGATCCCTTCCTTTGCTTGAGGTGAGTGAGCAAAGGGAAGAACTCTATTGCAGGCAACTAGAAAGAATGCTGCTTTGTCTAGCTGTGTTTTCCTAACTGCCCTAGCACATCACTTGACACGGGACCGCCTGAAATCTGTGCCGCTGGAGCTGTGAGTCGACCGCCTGTGTCGGGTCTCAGGCAATTTGGGCTTAACGAATGTGATATCGTCTTCAGGAGGTCAGAACACCCCTGGAAAGGAGTTCTTAGCGAATTTGACGACCTAAGGTAATTTGACGTCGGCGCCAGTGGCATGACCTCCAGGTTTTCGGGCAAAGCGGAAGCGGTATTCGTGTGCATGAGGCCCTCGTGGACATATTTTCAGACAAATCGAAGTTCTCGCTTGAACGTCGAAAACTGGGGCAGTAACCGGAGCACGGGGGAAGTGAAGGGTGAATGTTGCCAAATATTTAACTCTGAGAATTTCGTCACTCGAACCCGATTCGAAAATTGATGTATTTGTCAAGGACTTACCTTCTGTGTGTAATTGCTTCCGGTTTACTGGTTCACTTGTAAGATTTCTTGTGGTAATCCCTGGAACCTGACTATTCCTATGTTGTGACACATAATCGTCCGAGAGGGAAATGTCTGTTATATTCACTAGGCAAGCTAGAGCTCATGTTCACAGAGACGGTATATTTGAGCGCCGATCTTCCTTGTTTCAGGTTATAAAATGAATCGTCACCTGCTCAGTGTGCAGTCATGATGGAACAGATTGCGGCGCTGTTTATCGACGGGGGGGGCATTCTGTTTTTCATAGATTTGCCAACCCATCTAGGTACCTTTTTTCGAGTTGACACGTTTTAGGATGGTGGCTAGACGATCTTGCTCCAGCTTCACAAGCTTCACAGTAATCCGCAGCAATGAGACTATTTGAAACGGAATCAGGGAAGTATTGATAAATCGAAATGCCCCGTCGATAAACGCGGGAGATTGTCATATTATCACCTTTAATGAATGTTTTGTATTCATATCCTGCAGCATTCCTTGTTGTTTTTCTTTCCCTGGTTTTTGTTATCATAGAGCTTATATTTTGTTGTTTACATCTGTATAGAGCTTTTTGTGCAAGTTTGTTTTCTGCGGCTCATCGAGTGAACCGTCTTTATTTTCTTCGGCTCCTCAAGTGAACCGTCTTCGTAGAGGGGGAGCGGAGCTTGGGAAAAAATTTTTGTGCTGGACCTCATCTCGAGAGGAAGTACCTGTGAAGCAAATGTCTGGCTTCTCTCGACAATGGATGCAAATGGGGTTTAAAAAAGGGTTACTGATTTGTTGCTGGTGTTTTAGTTTTGATTCAATGAAGATTTCTTTTTGACGATGTATTTTTTTGTGTGTGGTCAGGCAGTGTTTGAAAGTAACGTGTGAGACGATCAAAAGACTGGAGATCGAGTTCAAATGGTTCTCTCCGATCGTTGTGAAGAAGTGAATAAGAAGATTACACTACATGCAGTTCCGATACTCAGGGCTGAAGACGTAAGGTCGCTCGAGGCGGAATGACTCGCTGCTTGCTCGAAGTTGTTGGGCTTATTTTTTTTTTGAGGCGCGGAGGTACATAAGTAGTAGCATCTAGTAGTGTATGCAGTAGTGTAGTACATCGAGTAACTAGTTAAGAAGGTCTGAGAAACGGTCAGGAGTCACGGCTGCGCTGGAAACGAAGTCACCTTGCTGATTACAATTATTGACACTAACCGGCCTTCCTCTAAATGAGTGACGCTGTTCGGCTTGGGAGGCTCACACTGCACTTATTACTTTCGCTAGTTCATTCCAAGTAATAGGTATCTTCTAATGGGACCCGTCAACTCGATTGAAGCTGTCAAATGGGACAAGGGAGGTTACAAGAATCCACATATTTTCGGAGGTGGTGCGAAAGCTTCGCTGAGTACCATTTGCTGCCCCCCCCCACCAAGTTGAACTGCGCCAAATAAGTTTTGGAGAATTGAAATGCAGAGGAAGCTGCAAGTTCTCACTATCTCACGGGGCAAATCGCATGTTGAACACGCGGTAACTGACCTAGTTCCAACGCCGTGATGACTCCTAACCACCCTTCTTCCCTACCGCCCCCCCTCTGCTTAAAGTTCTGGTTTGTTGCTGCGTGTTGCCGCAACGTGGCAGAAATACGAATCTATTGGAAATTGAATGCATGGCGCAAGTCAAGGAGATCAGCCTCGACTGGTTTTACCAGTATGCTTTATTTTCAGCTCATACTTGAAGTGTTGCCGACTAAATGACCTTGTATTTTCACCATTAAAAATTTTCTCATACAAATCAGTACATCAACATTTATCACTCGTCACAGATAGACATTTCTGGCTCGTGGTAGTTTCACTGGCCAATTGCTCTTTGTTAGCAGATCATACAAAGTACAAGAGATGTTCACAGGGATGCGCACTGGGATGATGGGTCAACAGTAAAAATAAGGGACAGACTCGTAGTTGGAAACAGTTTGAGATCATGTTCGGGGTGGGAAAGGAACACCATGTGAGAGGAAAGAGAGATCCTTATTCTTGTTGTTGTTCTTGAAGTGCTTCGACTAGTTCAGCGATTTCTTCATCCTGAAAACAATCGAAATTGATAATATGTACGGGAAAGACGTTTATTGGAAGTCCGCTCCGTTCTGCTTCGATCGCAGCGACCTCAGAAACACCTGATAGTCATAAACCGTGCAGAAACAAGCCGCCAAGGGTATGATTGAAATGTGTCGTTGGGGTGTTCATGGCAGCTATCAATCTCTACCCAAGCATTTCAAGGAAAGCATTAAGGAACAGAGCGTTGACCCAACGACGCTTTCTCGCCCTTCTTCTACCACGAGCACTCTCATCGCAAAAACTGATTGTACAGCAGACGGATGCACAGTTTAGAATCACGGAAAAATATCTATTAAATTGTCTGGATTTCTATGATGAATGTGCATATACATAGATGCTTCGCACTTACAACTCCAAAGCGCTAGACCCCAGTTTATATAATATTCGGAGAATTTTTCATAAAAGGTTTAGAGGGAATGCGGTGATATGCGTACAGCTTCGTTCGCAATGGATAAGGGGGCGGTCAAGACGGGGTTTGCCTACCGTTTTTTTTTTTTTTTTGAACGGCAAGCGACGAGACTGTGCTAAATCGTTCGTACTGGTCAATTCCCACCTGTGGTTGTCTCTCACCCACTTCTAAAACTGGCGTTGAAGACTCGATATGGCAGGCTTTGGCCAACTTCTCCCAATTTGTTCTCCTTTGCTGTGCATACTGTATCAAGCAACACCATTTTCAGCTTACAAAAATTTATTGGAGACACGGGGTCAAGCAGGTTAGTACCCATCCTGATCACTCTGACCTTGATCCCACCTAATATGTAGTTTTCTGGCGGAAAGAAATTCACAAATATAATAAACTTTTAGCAACTTACAGATGGTTCCTGTTCAGCGAGAGGTTTCAGAGCAAAGTCCACAACCATGGCGCTATCGCGGACTTTGTTAGTGACGGTCACCTGAATAGATATTGTTTGCTTTGAGTGGCAATCTGCAAAACATATCATAACTATTAAGAAAGGAGGTTTGATCTATAATCTTTTGTTTTTACGATGTTCAAGTTCAAGGTCTGAGGCCATTCGCTCTGGGGTCGAAATAAGCAAAAGGGAAGAGGGTCGAAAAATGTCAGGAAGGGGACAAAAAGAAGTCTGGAAAGGAATCTACCATAGGTGAGCGAACGGAGTAAATTAAGAAAATGGAGATCCTTTGAAGG